AAAATCAATTTTACAATTGATCTTAAGTCTAAGTCCGATCGATGCTAGATACAGAATTGTCGATTTGATTCTATACAATAAAAAATTTGCAATCCGGTAAACGCGCATTGACTTCAACCGGAGTGCAGAGTTAGCAGTGGTGATCACGTTGCATCCCGGTACCCGTGTGGGTTGCGTCAGCAGGTGCTGTATCGAGATCATCGCGTATTGCAAACTATTAGAAAGTGTTTGATATTACAAATTTCAACAAAAACATCATATTTATTATTATTTCATATTCATAAGGAGGAGAGGATAGACAGTGTATTTTTAATTAAACCGTGGCGAGTTCGATTCCCGTCGTACACCAATGAAGTTATTGTTAATCGCTATCTTATATTCGATCGCAATTTTAAGCTCCTGCCGGTTTACACGTGCTTATATATTCATTTATTTGCTGTATGTATTTAAAGATAGTGTTAGTTCAGGAGCCGTGGTAGCTCAGATGGTTAGCGCTCGCTGTAAATTTCACAGTACGCGAGCAACCTAGGTTCGATCCCCGCCGGCACCAATGACATTGTTAATTGCAATTTTTAAGTGATGATTTATTACGCGCGTGAAAGAAAACATCGTGAGGAAACCTGCATGTCTGAGAAATAAGAAAAAATATTTTGAAGGCGTGAAGTTCGACATTTCCTTCCCCTAAGACCCCTCAGAAATGAGAGGAGGCGTGTGCCCAACAGTGGGACGTATATAGGCTGTTACTTTTTTATCTTAGAATAAGTAGTAAAAGATATGACCGAAATTATTATTTTTGTGGATACATCATTATCATTTAGGGTCAATAAAAAAATTCTATTCTAGAACATCGTTATCTATCTTATCCTTAATGAGAATTTCCCGTTAAAGTCTCTTGATTTGCTGCTATGCCCGTCAACTTAAGAACCAATTCCGAGGCTGAAACATACCGATACCTGGGTATGTCACAGAACATCGGTATCGATGAGGCTGGTATGAAACAGTCAGTTTGCGACGTGTTTTATGCACGCTTGACCAAAGTGCTTAACAGCCTTTTGTCCGGTGTGAATAAGGCACACGCATATAACGGCTGGGTCATGTCTGTCCTCATGTATACCTTTGGCATACTCAGGTGGACTCAGACTGAACTTAACGCCTTGTATATAAAAGTCCGCACTACCATGACGTCCCATAGGATGCATCATTCGAGATCGTTGGTAATGAGGCTCTACTTGCCGCGAAAGCATGGTGGGCGTGGCTTCTTGAGCGCGCTCACCATGCATAATCACGAAGTGTGCAGCCTCCGTCATTACTTCCTAGCGAGATCGGATGATCCATTCTATAATGACGTCATTTCTAGTGATAAAGGACTTACTCCTCTATCCTTAGCCAACGAGCCATGGCAGGACCCGGCAGTACAGAGCATTTCCGACCGGGAGACCGTATGGAAAGAGAAGGAGCTCCACGGGAGGTACTACAGGGCTCTACATGAGCCCCACGTAGATACAGCCGCCTCCCTCAACTGGCTACGTTTCGGTGACCTCTTCGGGGGAAACCGAGGGTTTTGTCTGTGCAATACAGGATCAGGTTATTAAGACCAACAACTATCGGAGATACATCCTAAAGGATGGCACTGTCGACGTCTGTCGAGCTTGTCGTCATCCCGGGGAGTCACTTAGGCATGTCATCTCCGGTTGTTCGGCGCTTTCTAACTCTGAGTACTTGCACAGGCACAACCTAGTAGCCAGAATTCTTCACCAGGAGCTCGCTCTGAAATACGGTCTCGTGAATCAGAAATTGCCATATTACAAGTACTTTCCGGAAGCCGTGCTCGAAAATAATCGCGCCAGGCTCTATTGGGACCGGGCCATCATCACGGACAGGACTATTCTTGCGAATAAGCCTGATATTGTGCTGATGGAACGGGCACAGTCAAGGATATTTTTGGTCGACATTACCACTCCGTATGACGAGAACCTCGTGAAAGCCGAAACAGATAAGCAAACAAAATATCTGGACCTGGCTCACGAGGTGACCGACATGTGGGGTTGTCTGCCGACCGAAATTATTCCTGTAGTCGTCCCTGCAAACGGGCTAATCCCAGTCACCCTCTCGGGTCATCTGAGGCGGCTGGGACTACGTGGCGGGCCGCTCCAGGCTCAAATGCAGAAGGCGGTGCTCCTCGATACCGCCCGCATCGTCCGCCGGTTTCTTTCCCTTTCTCCCTAACCCTCGGCCGTTTGGTCTCCCCCTGCCGAGGGCCTCCATCTGGTTGGGCTTTTATTTATATATGTATTTTTATATTTATTTTATGTTATTGATATTTATGTATAATTTATCTTTTCATTTTCATTTATAATTATATATTTATAGAACCCAACCAGATGAGAAAACTATATTGATACCCCCAATAATAATATCTTTATTTCGATCAACAAGCTTAGGGTTTGCTAACTTTTTTTAGGAAAAAAGGTATAATTTAATCCTCTGAATAAAACAATTAAAAAATTGTTTGCAATAAAAAAGAGAGAGAGAGATATTTTTCAAATCTAATTTTTTTTTGCTTTAAATATATATTTTTGTACTTTTAGCACACATTAACAATTTTGGGTTCTCTTTAAAAGTTTCGAAACTACTTTCACAATCTAAGTTTAGATTTAAAAGGATAAAATATGTCATTTTTATTAAATTTATGGACGATCTATTTCTCTCTTCTCACCATTTCACTTTCATCTTCGAAAAAACTTTTTCTGTGAAAGCTAGGGTTGCGGGAATAGAAAGTAAGAAATATTTTTTTATATTTGTTGTTATCTCACGCATTTTTAGTATATATTTCCATTTTTCAGTAGTAGGTATTTTTCTTCAAAAATTCTTTCTCATGGTTAGTGGATTGTCTTTGGATCTCTAAGTATTATTGACTCGAAATATAAATCATCATCTTAATATTTAATCTGTCTTGTGAGTTAAAATTGCATGTCACATCTGACATCTATCGTTTCGATAAGTAACAAATAATTTTAATGTTGTTTTATCGTAGGTATCGATAAAATCGGTAAATAATTCAAAAATTACGTATGGGAGTGTTTTGTTTTGCGCATTACAGTAAATATGCAAAATAAAGTATTTTCGCATACTTTATTTTTATGCAAAAGTGTAAAGTATATTTATCAAAAAAAAAAAAAACTATGATACATTATTTTAAAATATGACTGGCAACCCTAGCGTAGCTCGTTTTGCATAACTAATAAGAAGGGCTCCTCGCTTATTAGTTGTATTCAGACTGCGAATACAACATATAACTTCTATAAAGGTTTTCCTTTTTTTTCTGTGGTTGCGGCTGTGCGCTTTTTAAACTTTTTAAGTGTATTGTAGTGTACTATATAAATATTAATTCATAAGATTTTGTACCACAGATTAATTTTTATTTTTATATAAGTACCTACCTCAAATTGTGTATGTTAATTTTTGGCTCGTATGACAGCCGCATAGTTTAATGGTCATAGTGCCCAAAGTATCATAGTAGATTATGTACGGGAATAGTACCTGAACCACACTGAACTTTAATATGGTTGTAGTACGAATGAATGGGTTGGCTCGACCGGGGAGGACCACGTTCTCACAGAATACCAGCGTAAATTGCTGCGTTTTGTCTGGTGAGTGTAAAGAAGGACCCTTTTTATTAGAAACGAGGCATTCCATCTTAGTCTTCAGAGGTGACAACACATCTGCATTTTGATTCTTAATCTAGGGTAATTTTAGATAATCTCGGGCCGCAGCATCCACTTTCCATCAGGTGGACTGTGTGCTCGTTTGTCACCCTTAATTCTATAAACAAGGCTCTATATTCACGAAGCGACTGCAATCAATCAAATTTTTAAAAGAAGATTAATTTGAATATATTTATAATGATGAAAACTATGCATTAAAATTATACTTGGACCACCGCCTTATAGTTGATAGGAACACAATGAACTCGCGTTCAGTTAGGTTAACGATCGACCTATGTAATTTTTTATTTTTACTACCCACATGCACTAGAATTATAATATAGATGTTATTGTTCTCATGTAAGTGACTTATTGTCTTAATGAGAAATAAAGTTCTTTAAACCGATATTTGTGCCAAATTGCCAGAATTATATTAGTACAGGAATAATACCTGAACTGTATAGTGGTTAGGTACCAATAGATATTTTTGTGTCGATCTTGATAGTTTATGGCAAAGACATTTAAGTAGTAATATTTAAATTTCTGTGGTATACGGTTTGATTGTGTATTTATTATGCCCGTTTTGACAATGAAGTTAGCTTACTTCCACCGAACTCATCGCATAAGCGTCAAATCATACACGGTGAGGTTAGGGTTTAGAATGGTTTTGTTGGTATTGTGGCAATATTATATCTTCTTTACAGTTAATTATTGCCTGGCCATGTTTTATAAAATTTTAATAATTAACTCAAACTACCACAATTTCCGCATTATTGATAAATAGTGCTATTATTAATTAAGTTACAATACTGAAAGCCAAAAGTCTGAAACAATTTATATATAAAGCCTTTATAAATTAATACATTGTTCAAAAGGTAAAACCTTACCGTCTTTATTTCTGAAATCTATTAAAATAAAGAGTGTTATCTCTTGTCAAGTCCATAACACTGAAGGGAAAATTTCTTCCTTATTATATATAGTAAAACTTCTTTACGCACGCTTGACTTGGAGAGTAAGCTGGCGAACGCGTGATGAAAGCGTTACGAAAAGTGTGATCGGGCGAGGCGAACGGGAGTTGAGTGGGGGATATAAGCAAGAAAGAGCAATGCGCGCGCAAATTTTTTTCAACCAAATCGTAAGACCCGTTTCCGAGGAACGAGATACATAATAAGTGCATATAAACAAGTATTGTTCACTTAAAATATAGGATATTCTATTTGTCTATCTAAATTTTAATTTACATAAGTTGTATTTCTTGTTCCTTTTTTATGTATGTAAGTATAATTTCTTTTGCAGCCAAAATCAATTCAAATAACTCAGGCTAAGCAATCAGTACCGACTGCGGCGTCAACTGGCAATTCGGATAAATTGAACGAGGATATCACGAAACAAGGCGAGCTGGTGCGTTCGCTCAAGGCTGCCAAGGCTGAAAAAGCCAAAGTAGACGAGGCTGTCAAGATCTTGCTGGACCTGAAAGCCAAATTCAAGGTTGCGACGGGACAGGTGAATTTTGATGTTTTACACTTAATTGTTAATTCATTTTTAGTTCTCATTTAAAGTTTATTTGTAAGACATGGACGTTCTTGAATTCCTTAGAAACAAACGAAACATTTCATGGATTTCGATTTTCTAGGACTGGAAGCCTGGAGCAGCACCAGCACAGAATAAATCGCCAGTCGGTGATGCCTCTACTTTGAATCAAGAGATTACGAAGCAAGGTGACCTGGTGCGATCTCTAAAGACCGCCAAGGCGGATAAAACCAAAATCGACGAGGCCGTTAAGGTTCTATTGGACCTTAAAGCGAAATACAAGGCAGTTACTGGACAGGTACCCACTGTATAAGTACATAACGGCCAAATCCAGTGCACCCTTAACCCATGTATGCCTAGATATGCGGATGTGAAAGATGCGAGAGACATGTCTGTGGTAAATGAAAGTCCGTTGTGATTATGACTTGATATGTATTCCTTGAGCAATTACCAAGAGCCGTGGTAGCTCAGATGGTTAACGCTCGCTGTAAATATAACAGAACGCGAGTAACCCGGGTTCGATTCCGCCGGTACCAATGAAATTGTTAATTGCAATTTCAAGTGCTGATTTACCACGTGCTCGGCGGTGAATGAGGAAACCTGCATGTTTGAGGAATAAGAAAAAAATATTTCGAAGACATGTGAAGTCCTCCAACACACATTGGGGCAGCGCGGCGAACACTTCCTAGTCCTAAAATCCTTTCAGAAATGGGGGGAGGCCTGTGCCCAGCAGTGGAATGTATGTAGGCTGTAACTTTATGTATTCCTTGTCAGAGAGACCTTTTCTGTTATGTCTTGGCAAGTTTTAACTTTGTACTCTTTCAGTCGACTTTGACGTAACACTTTATTGTTACTTTTAATTTTTGAGTCTAATTCTAAAGCTTTTGTATTTAATTCATTAAGGTTTTTTGTATTTAATTAATTAAGAAAGGTACCTAGCAGTCGATAAGTGGACTCGAACCCGAGCCTACCAATATTACATTTAGGTGTAATCTTATAATTCCTAATAACAACATGTAGGGTAATTATACCATCACACGTTACGTCGCTTTGTCGTGGCGGCGTTACAGAATCCACTACGCAATATCATCGTGTAAATTTTGTAGGGGCGAAAGTGGGAAATAAAATAGGCGATGGATAGCAGCAAAATAATAAAAAATACAGTTGACAGCGCGCCTGTTGATACTCCCTTTCTATGAGGCAATATATGATGGAGAATCAAAAATCTACTGCTAAATATAAGTAGTGGATCTCATTTTTCATAGGAGAAGGGTGACAAATGTGTACACAGTCCACCTGATGGTAAGTGGTTGCTGTGGCCCATAGACATCTACATTTATCCTCGATTACGAATCAAAATGCAAATGCGTTGTAACCTGTGAGGACTAAGATGGAATGCTTCGTTTCCAGTAAAAAGGGTCTCCGGTTCTCTACACTCACTATACGAAACACAGCAACGTAAAGCTGCTATTTTACGCTTGTATTCTGTGAGAGCGTGATCCTTCCCCGGTCGAGTCGACCCCTTTGTCCTACAACTAAACTACTAATATAGCTGCAGTATGGCTCTACCACGTAAAAGCTTGCTTTGTAATTAAAAAAAAATTAGTATATTACGCTACTAGGGAGGAAAGTATGGCATTGCAACCCGCGTGGTATTGTCACCCGAGCCGAAGCCGTCATACTTTTCCCGTAGTACCTATACTATTATTTTTAATAAACCAGGATCAATGGTTCGGTTTAAATTCAAGTAATATAATTATTCTTAAAGTATCATGACATACATATACTTTTGACGTTTAAAAACCATAGAGCTAGAAATTTGTCGCATGCGTACTAAATAAACAAATTATTGTGAGGTTAAAACGTAGACAGAGAAACCTATAGACTAATGATCGGCGTAGCCTTGAGTGAGAAAGAACGATAACGAATTTTTAGGTTATAGAATAATCTTTATGACTTTTAAACACATTTAGATAAAAATTTTAATTGTTCTAAGAACTGAACTGAACAAGATTCACCAATCTTAAGCTCACAAAACACTTTTTTTCGCACTGAAACCAACTTGTAAACTCCTTAAATCGCTACGCTGTCAAAGTTGTTTAGCAAACTGTAGAGTTTGCTAAAAAAAAACCGGCACAGAGAAAGGGACAAACAATCACACCGCTCTATCTCATTTCTATGCAAGACGTAAAATCTATCTTTTTCGTGTGCGAATGCGAAAGAAGGCGTCAATTTGTCTATAGGTTTCTCTGTCTACGGGTTAAAATGTATCATGACTTTTTTCGTTTACAAAATATAGAGCTAGAAATATGACGCATGCGTACTAAATTAATAAGTCACTGAATCGAGATGTTATAATGTGGCACTTTCGTCCCCGAAAATAGAGTCAAAATACGAACTTTCGATTAAGATTTGATAAAAAAATCAAAATTTTCAAAAAGTTATGAAGCAGATTTTAATTAATGGAATTTCTAAATGTTTTTTTATTATTAAAATAATATAATTATTAGAAAAAAGTAATAAAAATATCTAATGAGAAGATAACTTATTTAACCCCCGACGAAAAAGAAGGATGTTATAAGTTTGACCGCTTTGTGTCTGTGATACCGTAGTTTTTAAACGGGTGAACCAATTGTTGCGGCGCGTTTGGGTGTGGTTTTTTTTAAATTTAAAAGCAGGATTTCTAAGGGTGGTTCTTAGATATGTTTTATTGAAATCGGGTCAGCCGTTGGAAGATCATCAGCTTTTTTTGTTACGGTTTTTTTTAATTTTCTATTTAAATTGTTTACTAGGACTGGAAACCTGGCGCTGCACCAGCACCTTCGCCAACTTCGACACCGTCTGGCGACGCGTCAGATTTGAACCAACAAATTACTCAACAAGGCGACTTAGTACGTTCCTTAAAAGCAAGCAAAGCCGATAAGACGAAGGTCGACGAAGCCGTGAAAGTCCTTTTGGATCTTAAGGCGAAGTATAAGACTGCTACTGGACAGGTTTGGACTACTTATTCATTTATGTGTACTAGTATCGCGTCTGGTCGAAATTTACCCATCTAATTGGTTAAATTAATACATATCTTTTTATAGAATAAGAGTGGCAAACAGACTCTGAGTACACCTGATGGTGACTGGATGCTGTGTTTCATTGATATCTCCATCTATCCTCGATTAAAAATCTAAATGCAGATCAGATCAGCAAATTATTACCCCTGAGGACTAAGATGGAATGCCTTGTTTACAGTTAAAAGGGTCACCGGTTCTCTACACTTACCATACGAAACACAGCTGCATTAAGATGCTATTTTACGCTGGTTAGCATTCACATTTTTCAGCGTGACTCTACCACGTATGGATGATAAAATTATTAAATGTTTATGTGATACAATTATTTTAAAACTTCTTTAACTGCTATGACATAGGAGTGGAAGCCAGGTGCAGCACCAGCAGCTGTTTCGGCTGCCCCACCGTCTGGTGATGTTGCTGCTTTGAACCAGGACATCACTAAGCAGGGTGATCTCGTCCGATCGCTAAAGGCCAATAAAGCTGAAAAAGCAAAAGTCGATGAAGCTGTGAAGATACTTTTAGAACTGAAATCGAAATATAAAGCTGCTACCGGACAGGTGAATGCAAAATAATTAAAAAGCGAAGCTAAATACTAAGTAGGTATAACCACAGCCTAAGAAGTACAGTCAGTCAGACATCGTCCTGTTGCGTAGCGTTTGGTGTTGTCGGAAAAGTCGACATATGAGGTCGAGGAAAAGTTTCTTCGTATTTTATATACAAATTCAAGACTTTTTTCAAAGTTTTAATATATTTGCATTATAATATATATGTGCCATTTTGTTCGATAACTTATTGCCACCTTATAGGTAGTGACATAATTCTCTTGCTGTAGAAATCTTGAGATTCTTGATCAAATAAATGCGACAAGAGCCGTGGTAGCTCAGTGGTTAACGCTCGCTGTAAATATAACAGAACGCGAGTAACCCGGGTTCGATCCCCGCCGGCACCAATGAGATTGTTAATTGCAATTTTAAGTGCTGATTTACCACGTGCTCGACGGTGAAGGAAAACATCGTGAGGAAACCTGCATGTCTGAGGAATAAGAAAACAAAAATATTTCGAAGACATGTGAAGTTCGTCAACACGCATTTAGGCAGCGCGGCGGACACTTCATTGCCCTAAACCCTCTCAGAAATGAGGGGAGGACTGAGCCCAGCAGTGGGACGTATATATGCTGTAACTTTACTTTTACTTTAAATGCGACACGTAATTTTGGCTGTTGTCTCCTGATGTTAACCCTAACACTACCCATAGATTTCTGCAGAGACCAAAACGGGTGAAAATCTGAGGGTGCAAAGTCAGGACAAAGTGGATGCATTAACACTTCCCAACCAAGCTCTCTCAATTTTAGCTGAGTGGCCAAAAATGTGTGTGGTTTTGGTGTTATCATGGTGAAAGTCCACTCCTTTTCTGTTGATCAATTCCGACCGTTTTTTCTCAATTTCTTGCTTGAGTCTCATTAGTTGTTGGCAGCAGAGATCCGAATATTATCCTAACGTAAAATAATATGCTAATGCTCACACACTTGAATCCATTATCCCTTCTCGTTTTTTTTTGCGCCCGAAGCAAATACCTGCAACCCTCCGGAAAGCGGGGGAGGGAGAGGTAGGGAATGCTCATAGCGTACCACGCAGCCGGCTGCGTGGTTATGTGGAGACTTTTACCCACTAAACTCCACCTTTTAGGGACTGGCTTAACGGTCTAACTAGAGATATCTAAGCCGTATACGGACGCGACCCTCCTTGGCAGAAAGGAGTGGCACCCTTCTCGTCTGTGCATGTCGTAAGAGTCGAGCAGAGGAATATGCCATAAAGTTGTTGTGACTTCCGGCAGATGGCGGCATAGCCATCTCGTTTCTGCGATAGGGAGCAGTATTTAGGCTGAGATAGAGCCAAACAAGCATTACTAGCATTATTAGCATTATTTCAAATCTGGGCAAGCTTATCGCCGATGCTCTTGCGCTGGTGATGTTGCTCCCCATCACCAGCCTGTGGAATTGTAGATTGGTATTTTTGGAATTTGTTGTACATTTGAAAATTCTATTGTCGTCGTTACGTAAAGATTAGAACATACTTGCAATTTTAATTCAAGTTAAAAACTTACGCTGAATATTCGGCGCTTTGTATGTCGTGCTATGGCGGGCGTTCGGTATACGTCAAAACCATGCAATTTATTTTAAATTTAAATATCTAAAGCCACGCTGCAGCTATATTACGGTTGTAACACGAATGGGTCGCCTCGGCGAGGATGAACCACGCTCTCACAGAATACCAGCGTCAAATAGTAGCTTAACACTGCTGTGTTTCGTATGGTGAGTGTAGAGAACTTCAGACCCGTTTTACTGGAATTGAGGCATTCCATCTTAGTCCTCAGGGGTGACAACACATCTGTATTTTGATTCCTAATAGAGGTTAAATGTATGTGCCTGGGTCACAGCAACCACTTATCATCAATTGGATTATGTGCTCGTTTGTTTGTCACCTTTATTCTATAAAAAAAGAATGGATCTATACAAAATAATAAAGCATTATTACTTCATTTTAATAAGACCTTACTTATAAAATTATCGTCAATTTAAAAAAAATGTTTAATGTTGCTCTTTCGCTGTTCACTAAATTACAATAGAAAAAGAGAGGTATAGATACATCTAGTACTTATTAGTATAGTCTTAGTCTAGTACTTATACCTCGATTAGTGTTAAATATCTGTAAGTGATAATCAATGATTATAAGTAAACCCGTAAATGTTTAAATTAATAATAAATATATTTTTTCTGTTATAGGAGTGGAAACCCTCACCACAGCAGACCAACGCACATCCTTCCCCGGCGCCGCAACAGTCCAACGCGGAAGTCGACGCCTTACTGTCAGCTATCAGTGTTCAAGGAGACAAAGTCCGGCAGCTCAAGTCGGCAAAGGCGGAGAAATCTGTCGTAGACGTAGAGGTATATTTATATTATACATATAGGTAATATTTTCAATAATCAAAAGCCGGACCAATTGTTCATTACATTTAAAATTTTGATGATATTTAGTAGAAACTGAAAGTTTAGAATATATTAAACTCAGAATTTCCAGCTCTCCATGCTTTTAGCACAGTTTTAAGACCTTACAGTCGTGAAACGCTTTTGATGTCCGGCGATGCCGCCGCCCGCGTACGTATTTACGTGGCAGCGTGTATGCCAGGGGTTGTCGCGAAAATGGAAATAAAATAATTTAGGATATTATAATACTCATTATCATTTATTAACATTACGTACATAGTTATAAGTTAGTAATACTAATGTACATACTCATAAGTTAATAATCATTTTTATTACTATAAGAAAAACACATTTACATGTGTTGCACTTCCAAATATTTTCATGACTTTCTTTTTATAGATGTTTTCAGATTTTGATTGTTAAATTATGTAATGTATTCGCATTCGGATAAACGTTTTTACCACAAAGGAAAAGAGAAATGTAAGCAGTGCAGTCATTAGAATTAAATTTTACAAAGTAACTCATATAACTATAACAATAATTCACCATTCTGGATATAATATTTTTCGAAAACGACACTTAAAATTAGTTGAATAATTATTATAAAACACGCTCGCACCAACCGCATGTACTGTCTATCAGACTCAATGAAGTGCGCTAGCATAAGGTCGGCGCGCCCCATGGCCGTTCTTCTGCACAAGTACATTCGTTTCCCAACTGTAAGGTCTATTTAAACTGTGCTGTTAGGATTACTAATATCCTGCAAACCGCACCGACTGCACTGAGGCCTCTGAAAAAACGCTGTCCTGACGACTTGTGATCGGACGGCTGATGTAACTGAAGTAATAAAGATATTAATAGTTACTTTGCTACAATCCGCTCAATATACCAAGTGCTCGTCGGTATATTGAGCGGATGGTTGCAAAGTAAATATTAATATCTTTATTATAATGGATTTTCGCAAAGTAACGCCTGACTGAAGTGGTGAACAATTAACTATAAAAATATTTTTAACGTTTATTTACACTACTAAAATAAAAAGTGATTAAAATTCATATTTTAACACTTAAAAATTGCCTTTTTATTATATAAATATAAGCAACAACACATCAGGGGCACTAACAGTGAAGCTTATCAAAAGGTAGAAATTTTTTGGAATAATTAAAAAAAATAATAATACCTATAATGTTACCATAATATCATATTTGCCTTTGGCTTGAATAACAATTTTTAAAAAAAATTCTGTCTTAAATAAAACTACTTTTTTTACGGCGTTTATCGCGTTTAATTCAATTAATTTTATTTTTAATCCCTCCCCGTCCCGTCAAAACGTCAGGAAATAAAAAATAAAGTTAAGTAAATTAAACGCGATAAAATCCGTAAAAAGTAGTTTTATTCAATGTGTAGTGTTCGCGTAAATATAACCGAGAGTTCGCACTGACGCGATTTTCACACAAAAACTTTTAAAAAAGTTTTAAACACTGTTTTCTGTCAATTCGTCAAAAGCAAAAGCGTTTGCATAGTCAAAGAACATGTTGTAGTGAAATATGTTTTACAGTTTATTGTACATTACATATTTTAACTATATTATATCTTTATAAATAAATGTCTGCCTCGTTAGTCTAATGGTTGTAGTAGTGCGACTGCTGATCATGAGGTCCTGGGTTCGAAACCTGGGTCGGGCCAAAAAATCAATTATTGAGTTTTTCTGTCACGAAATTCTCAGTAGCTGGTAGCTGCCCGGAGTCAGGAAGTTGGCGGTGTCTCACCCCCGTGCCTCGGAAAGCACGTAAACCGTTGGTCCTGCGCCTGATCTCTCTCCGGTCGTGTCGGTTTACCGTCCCATCGGATTATGAGAGTGAGGGATAGAGTGCACCTATAGAACCTCCATGTGTCTATACACATGAAGAAGACATCAACGACGAGGGATAGAGAGTGTACCTGTGCTTGCGCCGATGGCTAGCCTCCGTTGAGGCAGGCTGCCGTGGCCGAAATTCGGTCTGAAGGACATTATATTATATCTTTATAAATACAGAAACAAAATGTATGAAAACAAATTTGTAGAAATATTGTCATGTTGAAAGATAAGTTTGAATATATCTGTTGAAAATTTTACACAGTTTTTGTGAGTGCGAACGCCACCATAAACAAAACATGTTGTGTGATTTATTTTATGCGATGTTTCAAAACATTACGTGTTGGATGTTTGTCTGTCTGTAAGTCTGCCTGTCCGGGCTAATCTTCGGAAGGGCTGAACCGATTTTGATGAAATTCCACGGACAGAGAGAGAGAGCAAGCCAAGAGTGCCAACAGTGATCTAGATCCATTTTATCTGAAAACTTTTAAAGTAAAAAACAAAAACTTTTAATATATATGGCCTTAGATTATCTTACATCTAAATAACGCGAAATAAATAGATGTTAAGGCCGAATACGAAGAGAACTGGCGAAAATTAATGTATTTCTCTTGACTAGAACTTTGACCTGAAGTAATTCTAAGCTTTAAAACATTTTTGTAGGTTTGTTCGGGTCCTTCACAAGGTCACCGTCATTTTAAAATTTTAAAATAAATGAATATACCAACAAATAAAAAAATGTTAAGAAATGATATATAAAATTATTGTTCTTCCAAAACTCTGTGAATTTTAATTTAGGAAAAATTCTTTTACGTAAAAATGTTTGTATTGTGATTCCGAAGGTACCTGCTATCTTTATTTTCGATACAAAATATTATTTATTAACATAATCGTTTTAATTAAAAACACCTAATAATAATATCGTATATTGCCAGATAAAAGTTTGCCGTAATAAATTACCAGGCGCTTCGACGTGTGACGTAAGGTAACAACAGTCGATGTGTCTGTAGCGAAAATCGTTAATTTATTGTTTTATACGCGTTTAAGTGTCTATAAATGTAAATATGGGTAGGAAAAGAAATAAATGTTACCTAAGTGGTAAAACAAAGAGAGTTTATCGCATGAAAGCTGCTCGAATGTTGTATTTTGAGGTTAATACTTATATTTTTGTAAGGTAATTTTTTGTTTGAGGCTGCCTAATAGGTTGCATTTTTACTCATTTACATTAGCCAAACTGATCATTTATACTTTTCTAATTTCAAGTGAGAAACACTAAAAATGTAAAATATCAAGACCCAGTCGGAAAAGAATGTACAGAGTAGTGCAAGCACAAAGATCGCAAATAATGTCAGTCAATGTATTGTCCGAAAGCATGGGGTAATACATAATTAAGAAAAACCGAAATACTTCGGATGTGAAGTGATTGACCAGTCGGAGTAGTCTTGTGAGAATTTATATACACAGTACCTATCCCCACTATGGGGCAATCACCGACTTTTTAGTTTTTTTTTCTTTATTATTTATGCAATTTGCATTACGGCATCTTGTAAGACTCACAAGAACAAATATTTTCAGTTATATGAGGTTCTTAACGTACGATGCACCAATTAAGAAAAAAATCGTTATTAATTCAATAACTTTTCGAACAATATTTTATAAAGAAAAAAGTACAGAATTTATAATCTATAGGAACTAATATTATAAATAAGAAAAATTTATTTAAGAAGTAAGCAATGCTCTCTGTGTTGTTCATTACTCTGCATCTGAGCTAGCTCCGTTAAATATAATCAAAGCCCGTACGGCTTTGATTATAGGTATTATACATGTCTATATAAACAAAGCGTAGGTACTGGCGGCGCGTGGTTTGCTGCGAAACGAGCAAGGTCATTCACGTCGTATTCGGCCTTAAGGGGAAATATTAAAAATACTACCTCAAATGGCTTAGCAGGATCCCCCGTTATGCCGAAAATATTGCAGCATTAATTTTGAAATAAATATATGGTAAAGTTGAGGATTAATGTTAAGTACTATGTTAGACGAAAACACGATTCCGTAAAATTTTCTCGATGGAAAAAAACCAAGTTACCTCCGAACTGAACAATAAACCGCTGGTATTCATAAAATACTTTAAATTAGATCGTGAAACTTTGCATACTAACTGAACTAACTATAAAGTAGGGCTTATGATTTTATATGTTTTAAATTACCATTATTTTCACTGTAAAAAGAAATTACCTAAACTATTGGCGTCTTGAAGCTTGTTCCCTGCCACCCGATCAGTCTAGCTTCGGCTTTCGAACGGGAAAGCTGTGTCGCTTACGATCAGAATACACATTACGCAACACGAGGACGTAAAATTAAAATGGGAAATAACCGTAATAAAAATAAGAAGCGACTGGGTTGGCATAAAGAAACAGGCATAAATATGACAAACTTAAATAAGTATCTAACGACTTATCTACTTACATTATTAGTGATTACAAACATGTCGGTACATAGCATACGACGCGCGGGGAAGTGGGGGCGAAATTAGAATTTGAGCCGAGTTACTATATCCCCTTAACCAGGCAAAGCCACGGCGGGTCGCTACTTTTAAATATATTTTGTAATGATGAATATACTTCGCCGTTTTTTTACTCAAATATATTTTCTTTTATCAGGTTAAAAATCTACTGAACTTAAAAGCACAGTACAAGTCCATCACCGGCAAGGATTGGTCACCAAACGCCGCTCCTTCAAAGGAAGTCAGCAAAAACACGAAAAAGGTACATAACATAGTAAACCTTCAAAGCCTATATATGTTCCACTGCTAGGCACATATTATACACTAAGCACAGTACGCTAGTAATCTGTGTTGGATGCCCGCTGGTACTAATTAAATTGTAAATTGAAATTTATCAAGTACACGATTTACCAAATGCTCATCGCTGAAGTAAAACATCATGAGGAAACCTGTATGTCTGAGAAATTATGAAATTGTTTTGAAGAAGTGTAAAGTTCGTCAACACTCATTGGAAAAGTGCGGCGGGCACGTTAGCTTTTAAAAAAATCTCAGAAATGAGACGTGTATAGTCTTTAACTTAATCAGTCCACTAGGTATCATACTACCTATATTGATTAATGCTTTAATTTCCTTAATTTTAGGAAGAAACCGCGGTTCCACCCAAAAACACTATGGAAGAGAAGGGAAGTGCTTTGGCAGCGGAAATTACTCGCCAAGGAGATCGTGTCAGGGAGCTAAAGGCCAATAAGGCGGATAAGGTAACTCGCACATGGCCCGCTACTTTAGGCTAGATTTATTTTTGGTGTTTGGTGCTAGGCCTCAACAATACATTTTAATGGTCTGGAACTAATTTATAATTTACTTTTCATTTAACAATAATAATAAATATTAATAATTATTTTAAATATTATTATTGACGTTGATTCTACTATTAAACACTCACGCCTGTCACCCAGAGGGGTAGGAAGAGACTACGGACTTCCATTTGGCACGATCCTGACATACCTCTTTCGCCTCCTTTACATCCATATATCTACATACATGCTCGTCGGTTAAGGGTACTTCTAACGTGGCCCCTTTTCAAAATATCGCCAATTTGGTCGACATACCTCTTTCGCCTCCTTTACATCCATATATCTACATACATGCTCGTCGGTTAAGGGTACTTCTAACGTGGCCCCTTTTCAAAATATCGCCAATTTGGTCGACATACCTCTTTCGCCTCCTTTACATCCTTATATCTACATACATGCTCGTCGGTTAAGGGTACTTCTAACGTGGCCCCTTTTCAAAATATCGCCAATTTGGTCGACATACCTCTTTCGCCTCCTTTACATCCATATATCTACATACATGCTCGTCGGTTAAGGGTACTTCTAACGTGGCCCCTTTTCAAAATATCGCCAATTTGGTCGACATAATTCTTTCGCCTCCTTTACATCCATATATCTACATACATGCTCGTCGGTTAAGGGTACTTCTAACGTGGCCCCTTTTCAAAATATCGCCAATTTGGTCGACATCCTCTTTCGCCTCCTTTACATCCATATATCTACATACATGCTCGTCGGTTAAGGGTACTTCTAACGTGGCCCCTTTTCAAAATATCGCCAATTTGGTCGACATACCTCTTTCGCCTCCTTTACATCCATATATCTACATACATGCTCGTCTGTTAAGGGTACTTCTAACGTGGCCCCTTTTCAAAATATCGCCAATTTGGTCGACATACCTCTTTCGCCTCCTTTACATCCATATATCTACATACATGCTCGTCGGTTAAGGGTACTTCTAACGTGGCCCCTTTTCAAAATATCGCCAATTTGGTCGACATACCTCTTTCGCCTCCTTTACATCCATATATCTACATACATGCTCGTCGGTTAAGGGTACTTCTAACGTGGCCCCTTTTCAAAATATCGCCAATTTGGTCGACATACCTCTTTCGCCTCCTTTACATCCATATATCTACATACATGCTCGTCGGTTAAGGGTACTTCTAACGTGGCCCCTTTTCAAAATATCGCCAATTTGGTCGACATAATTCTTTCGCCTCCTTTACATCCATATATCTACATACATGCTCGTCGGTTAAGGGTACTTCTAACGTGGCCCCTTTTTCAAAATATCGCCAATTTGGTCGACATACCTCTTTCGCCTCCTTTACATCCATATATCTACATACATGCTCGTCGGTTAAGGGTACTTCTAACGTGGCCCCTTTTCAAAAATATCGCCAATTTGGTCGACATACCTCTTTCGCCTCCTTTACATCCATATATCTACATATATGCTCGTCGGTTAAGGGTACTTCTGACGTGGCCCCTTTTCAAAATATCGCCAATTTGGTCGACATACCTCTTTCGCCTCCTTTACATCCATATATCTAATGCTCGTCGGTTAAGGGTACTTCTAACGTGGCCCCTTTTCAAAATATCGCCAATTTGGTCGATAAACTTTTTTCTAGGGCGTCCCTTCCCGACTCGGCCGTTCACATCTGCCATATAAATTTGCTTTGTCACTCTTTCCTCATTCATTCTTTCTACATGACCAAACCACCGAAGCATTCCTTTCTTAATCCTGGTCACAACATCATCTTGCATACCACATTTATCTCTTATCATGCAATTTCTCACCCTGTCATTCAGATTCAACCCTAGCATACTCCTTAAAGACCGCATTTCTACAGCATTTATTCTACTTTCGTGCTTCTTCTGCCACACCCAGCTTTCACTACCATACATTAAAGTAGGGACTAACACAGCATTATGAATTACCATACGTGCCTTTTTTGACACATTCTGGTTCTTCATAATAGAGTGTAGTGCCCCATTCACTCTATTCCCTGCATTTACTCGTCGTTCTATATCCCTATCATATCTACCATCCCTGCTAAATACACATCCCAAATACACAAACTCATCCACTTGCTCAATTAACTCTCCTTCTATTCTTAATTCACATACCGTTTTGCTTTCTTCTCTTTCAAAAACCATCACTTTCGTCTTCCTTGCGTTCACTTTCCTTCCCCTTTGTTTTAATTCCCAGTTCATTAATGTAACCATCATTTGCAACTCAGCCGCCGATGACGCAAATATGACTTGATCATCGGCATACAAAAGGCATTTGATGGTTAACTCGCCCATTCTTAACCCACATTCTTCATCTTTCAAAGTTTGCAAACACCTGTCCATAAATAGGTTGAACAGCCAAGGGGAAGCTACACAGCCCTGTCTGACACCTTTTTGGATGCCAAACCAGTCCGAGTAGACCCCATTGATCCTAACACAAGCACTAGAGTCCCTATAAAGAGACCTTAATGCCTGTATCAAACCAGCGCTCAACCCATATGAGTTCAGTGTTTGCCATAACACATTCCTGTCCACTCTGTCATAAGCCTTTTCCAAGTCCATGAACGCACAAAAAACTTTCTGGTTTTTGGCCAAAAACTCTCTCCGCAATCATGCGCATGGAAAAGACTTGATCTGTACACCCCATTCCCTTTCTAAAACCCGCTTGCACATCCCAAATTTTTCCATCAGTTTCTTTCATAACTCTTTCAATTAACACCTTAGCATACAGTTTACTCACAATACTAAGCAAGCTGATACCACGGTAGTTTTTGCAGTCCTGCTGTGACCCTTTTCCTTTATATATTGGTACTATAACTGCTTTACACCAGTCATCCGGTACCCGTTTTAATTCCCAACATAAATTAAACAAGGTGTACAGCAGGCCTGCCACCACTCCCTCTCCAGCCATTAGCATCTCGAGTGATACTCTATCATATCCAGCTGCCTTACCTGCTTTCATGCTTTTCATTGCTTTCATTATTTCATCTACACTTATCTCCATACCCCTTTCCACTTCTTTCGGAATTTCTAGTTCATTTAATTCAGACGACTCTTCACTCATAAACACGCTTTCAAAGTATTCCTTCCATCTGTTTAAATTCGAAGCTTCATCATTCAGAATACATCCATTCTCGTCTCTTATAGCATTCATTATAGGCTGTTTTGTATTTCCCCCTGGCAGTTCCTACGAGTTTCCAGAACATTTTTATGTTAGCCTGGAAATTATCAGATATCCTTCTATCATTCTTATCCGTTCTTTCTTTCTTTTTCCTTTCAACAACTTCTTTTACTCTCTTATTTAGACGTCTAAATTCTGCCTTTTTTCTTTCAATCTCATCATTCATACCAGAAAAATTACCAGCTTTGGTTGCTAGTAAATCTAACCATGCTTTCTTCTTTGATTCAACTTCCACCTGTACCTCATCATCCCACCACAACGTATTACTTTTCCTTTCATTTGTTCTCTTACTTACACCACATACTTCAGTGGCGGCATCCACCAAACCTTTCTTAATATTGTCCCACACAGTATTCAAGTCTAAATCATTCATACACAACTCATTCAAACATCTAATATTTCCTCTCAGTCTACATTTATACTTCTCTTTCACATCTTCATCTTGTAACTTCTCTATTCTTATACGCTGTAACGCAGTGGTAGACACAGATGTCCGATGCCGCCAACGCTTGAAAAGACCATTAATTCGACATAAGACCAAGTAATGATCCGTCCCTATGTTGGACCTCCGGTAAACCCTTGTATCTACGACTGCGCTCCTCATTCTTTCATCCACAATTACGAAATCTATCATGCTTCTATCATCACCTCTTTCCCATGTATACATGTGAATCTTCTTATGACGAAAAAAAGTATTTGTCACAAAAAGATTCTTTTCCACACATACGGTGAGGAGGTCTTCACCATTCTCATTTATACTTTCATCACCAAACGTTCCCAATATCCTTTCATAACCAGACCTCTTCACCCCAACCCTTCCATTAAAGTCTCCTAACATAATAATATTTTCATTTTCCTTACATTTTGTCAACACCATCCTTACCATGTCTAAAAACTGCTCTCGGATGTAAGTGGGCTTAGACATGTCTGGGGCGTACACCCCTAGCAGGAACAGCTTCTTTAAGCCCACTTTAATTCGTATCCATAGCAGCCTCGGGCTTACACATTCATACTCTTTCACACATTGACCCATTCTTTCTGAAAGGATGAAACCGACTCCCTGGCATGCCCGTTCGGTCTCGTCTACACCAGACCAATACGCGGTATACGTGCCATGTGCAGTTGCATCCTTTCCCTTTCGTTTCGTCTCATTCACACATAACACATCTATTCCTCTGTCATTCATCATTTCGCATACTTCATCCATCTTATCATTCATTACTCCACATACATTCAGCGTAGCCAGACGGGTTTCCGCAATCCACTTTTCGCCCCTCCGGGAGACAGAACGTGATGGGTGGCGAACCTCGTCGCCGGTTTTTTCTCCCGGAGATTCTTCGCACCCCTGCCCCATTGAAGGGGCGCCGGGAACTCGGGGCCATTTCTTTTGTTTTCTGAGTCATGGTGCGAACAAGGGGTGGTGGTAGATTTTACGCCGCTACCATACGGCGAGGAGCCGAGTCTATTTTTTCGGCTTTTTCGCTCGTTTAGCACCACCCGGGGGACACGTGTAGGGTGGGCCTAAGGTTAGGTGGTCGAAGCCTACGGACGCGAGCGACTCATCCCCCTTTTCTTCCCATTCTACTATTATTGTATCAATAGTTGTATCAGTCAGGGCTTATTGGTAAAAATATGGATTGTTGATTATTTATTCAAGTTATAGCTGAAAGAATAAATTCAAAGCGGCCTTATTAAATACAGCACGGATAGTAAGAAGGTTCTTCCTTCGTATCTATGGATGTCTAACTTCACCGATGGCTCAGGATTTTTCGCCGCGGTGGATAATAGCTGAAATAATAATATTATTTATATGAATTGTATTCATATAGATAATATTATAATTTTGTTACTTTATATGTGATAACAAATGTAAAATAATACTAATATCGTTTATTCGCTAAAATATTGTGCATTAGAGGTGACAAATTTCATATCGTACATATGTCCGCATGTTTTTTTACCACATCTGGCATGCGAAAATTATTAATTAAGCAGTCAGCAAGCTGCAGTTATTTTAACTTTACTTTTAATATCACGCGGTAGAACCATGTTGCAATGATATTACGGTTGTAGCACGAATGGGTCGGCTCGACCGGGGAAGAACCACGCTCTCACAGAATACCAGCGTATAATAGCAGCTCAATGCTGCTGTGTTTCGTGTGGTGATTGTAGAGAACAGAGGGGTTACAATAGGGTGGCAGACCAGGCAAAATGCCCCCCCCCCCCCCCGGTCCGCCAGGGCCGCGAGTACTAGAGGATCTTAACATTTATAATTACAACATACTGTAAAATATTACAAATTTACATATTTTATATAAAGATCTTAAAGCTCTTATGAGTTTCTTAAATTCCACAGGCTGCTATTGACGCTGAAGTTAAGAAGCTTCTAGAATTGAAAGCGCAGTACCAAGCTGAAACCGGCACAGCTTATGCTGCGCCCGCTCAATCGAAGGAAACGAAGCCCAAAGAAAAGAAAGAGAAGCCTAAAGAAGTGAAGAAGGAAGCCAAGGCGAAAGAACCAGTAAGTATTGAAAATGTATGGTTACATAATGAAATAGCATTAGTTGTTTTAACCTTTGTTTACATTGCTGGGTGATCTAGTGCATGTAGGTTTTTATAAATAAAAATCACCGATGGTTAGCTAAGGAATTATTTTAATAAATGTTTACGACTGAAAGTTCCTATTAACCTGAATATATACCAGACAAATAAATATACTGTTACCAATGGATTTTAAACCATCGACACCTATATAATATATTATTACATATTACACCTATATACATGATTATAAGGTTAATAACTTATAAAACCATAGAGTAGCATATTATGTAAGAATAATAGGACTTGTGGGTAATCGTAACATCGTTATAAACTATAAAAAATACTGCTGTGTCTTAGTGGGCGTTCAGTTGTGAGTCTCCTGCCTACAAGTTAGTTATTCTGCTCAAATCTGTGCTCATTAACATTAAGTAAGGAATAATATATAATTACTGTGATTCGTTGATCGAGTGAATAAAAAGTGCTACGGTGTAATCTGTTTTACTTACTGACCTCTATATATACAAGTACGCTGGACTGGCTATACACGTGACATGCTGAAGCGATTTGATTTCCGCCATTTTGGCGCTGACAGCAGAAGTGCACGTCCACGGAACTAATAATAGGGATAAGACAGTGTACCAAATTATATCGATAAAAATTCTATACCCTACCTATACCTAAATAAATAGAATGGACTCTATGGATAGATGGATTCTACCCGTAACGTCCATTCCATTTATGTATCATATTAATATAATGCCATTATCATTCATCATCATTAAAACCCTTCACAAGTCCACTGCTGAACATAGGCCTCCCCAAGGAATGCCACAAAGTATGGTCCTGAGCTATCTGCATCCAACTTCTTGCATGTCTTACGAGTTTTTGACTCTATCTAGTGGGGGAACGTCCTACATTTCACCTGCCGGTACGAGGCTGCCACTTGAGAACCTTTTTTCCCTATCGGTATTTGGTTCTTCGAGCTATATGGCCGGTCAATTGCCACTTGAGCTTACTAAACCATTGGGCGGTGTCCGTCACTCTGGTTCTGCTGCAGATATCTTCATTCCTAAGTTTAAACCCCTGAGCATAGCCCCCTTCATAGCTCGCTGAGCGACTTCGAGCTTCCTCATACGCCATTGAGGTCATCACTGGCAACACGCACTGGTTGTATAATCTAGTTTTGAGGTATCCCTGACGAGAAGATGTGTTGTAATCTCCCGAACGCTGCCCAGTTGTTTCCGAGTTGAATCCGTCGATTGACCTGTCGGTTGAATTTGAACTTACCTAGTCGGACTATTTGTCCCAAGTAAAAATACTCGTCAACAACTTCAGCTAAATGCTCCCAAAAACCACCGGCATATGTGTGACATGGACATTACACGTGACTTTTGTTTTGTCCATGTTCATCTTAAGATCTATCCGTTGGGAGACACGATTGAGGTCATTGAACATAGTGCGTAGGTCCTCCAGCGATTCTGCATTAAGGGCTATATTGTCGGAAAACGAAGGTGAGTGACGTACACGCCATTGACGTTGATATCGTTTCCTTTTCAGTCCAGTATCTTGAAAACGTCTTCCAATGCAGCGGTAAAGTATTTCGGGGATATTACGACACCCTGTCTTACACATCTCTACAGTTGGACTAGTTTTGTACTCTGGTTCTGTACTCGGATAGCCATTGTAGCCCTTAGACCATTCAACTAAAAAATATTAAGATTAAACTAACTACACAAAATAAAAATAAAAACATAATTTCTAAAATAATTTATTGTCAACCGTTCATTTAGTTCTGGTATTATAAAAAACAAATCAGCTGCTATAATAACGCCTATCATAATCAACTACATATTTGGCTATAGACAGTAAAATATTTTCTACTATATAAAAATTTATGTTTGTTCGTACTTTCTACGATGCCATACCGTTCATCAGATTGCGGTCAAATTTAGTCAACTTATTGGTTGCTTGTGCGAAGATTATACGCATGGTACAATTAACTGACACTAGGTGGCGTGCGTATTATACCGACTATTTATTTGAAAGTTATAGAAAGTTATATATCATTCTAATTCAATGATTTTATTTTTATTCCTAATTATACAATATAACTGTTCCACATTTTAACGATATTTCCACAATTATTTCTTCTGCGGCAGCTATGGCAGCCGGGTACGAGCTAGCAAGATAATATAAAAAATACAAACTTTGAATTACATAGTTATCAGTTATTAACAACGTCATTTTCGAAATTAAAATTACAATATAAAAAATGGTATCGTCCCAAGAATGCTGGCTACGTGTCCTCACTCCTCACGGAATGGCTATACTTAGCCTTCAAGAGAGGAAACAACAAACTAAACAACTTCTTATTACCAGCAGCAATGATCAGTCGCAGATACAGTTTTTTAGGAACTACACCGCACGTGCACCAATAGTCTCTACAGCAAATTGCACTAATATGTACTTATCTTCCAGATACTCTGGGCTATTTACTTGGTTCAGTTGCCTCTAATGCCACCCCTGCTTTAGACGAGGTACCCCTGAGATGGGATGCTGTCAAAGTGTTCGCAAGTAGTGTCCCACACTAAAGCTTTATCTCTCTCTCTCTCTCTCTCTCTCTCTCTCTCTCTCAAGCAACCAAACCCATACTGTTGGGTCTCCTGGTATCGTCTCTAAATATTCTACAAAGATCTTAAACCGAGGAAACATTTATAGAGATACGAGCTGCACTACGAACTTCCCGAGCCCGATATGAGAATGGAGCCAGGGAAAAACGAGCACTTGGAAGCATCAAGTGGTGCAGCCTCACCAAAGTCGCGAAAGATAGTCAAGTGGTGCATCGCCAATCGCCATACCAACACTCCTCTTCCCTTACGACTCCACCTCGACTACAGCGGTCCAGGGAGAGGAATCTCCTCTAGCCGCAGCCCACAAACACACGACACTTGGCTATGGCCCTTGAGTTTGGTGGAAAATGAGAAAATAAGAAATAAAAAAACATTCGAAATAATAATCTATTTGTTCCAAACATGATCATTTTGTTTCGGATGCCAATACACAATATTTATGCTTTTAAGCCATAATTTTAGTCTAGGTTCAGTTGGAAACCTGTTAATTAATAAACATTTGATAATCATCCGTTGTTGGCGACTTTTTTTTGTTAACACATATGGGTAGGAAAGAACATCGATAAGTATTATAGACAAGGAACTCGACAACCCTATTTAATTTTATTGTTTATCAAAACTCAGTAATATACACCCAAACATGTTGGTATATATGATATTAAGATTAGTAACAAATTTTTAAGTAATTATATTATCAAATAGTTTTAATTTGTTTAATATTTGCTGCAAATTCTTACTTGTGAAATGTTATACCACTTTCCTTTAGGTAACGAGTTTTACAGATTACACACACTTACATTATTAATAAAAATAATTCTTAAAATGTAACTAATACTATACACAATCAAACAACAAAATACTTTCGTTTTTTAGTTTAAATGTTCGAAATAAAGACTTATGAAATAAGACAATATAAATAGGACAACAGACTTTGGCATATTACGTCAATTTTATTTTTCAAGACATCCTTTAGCGGCGCTTCAAATTGGCACAGTCATTTTGTATGGTATAGCCAGTCCAGCGTACTTGTATATATAGAGGTCAGTGGTTTTACTTCATATCTACTAATTAAAAATTCAGACAAAAATTTATTAAGCCTAGCATCAAGAATGGAATAGAATAATTAATAAACTTTATTTCCGTATTTTTCGATATAGGTTACTAGAATACTTGTTAAAAGTCATTTATGATTTTACAACTTATTCGGATAAATCCTATGACCTTTGTTCTAATGTAATATAATCTGCAATTAAATATGAAAACATCTTGGTAGTGTTCACCTCATTCCCAGTGGTTTTTATCAATCACATATTCTTTAGTAGTATAATAACCCTTACTAAATACTTATTTCTTAATAAAAATTTAAATTTAATCTCGTTGATGGTTATGTCTACATATTTTTGGGACGTTGTTGTAAAAGCTTACATTTCCCCATTAATGAATTACAGACTCCTTCTTCTACTGAGTCGAGTTACTGGTATAAATCGTATAATATTGTACGTGGTCGTACATAATGTGTTACAGTATATTTTTAAGCATTTCTAATTCCCTCTAATTTGAGGATAAAAAGAAATGGAACATTCATTATGCTTTAATTTTATAACTTAGATTTAAATAGAAAACAAAGAAATAAATTGCGGTGAATATAAATGATCATTTATTCCCTAGTCCATATAATATGACCAATTAGGGTAAGCGCAGACCGAGCTGCAAAATGCTCGCGCATGCTCGAGCAAAATTTTGACTACTCGTCCATGCAGGCGGCATCCGCGCGCCTCCGTGAGCAAGATCCATTGAAAGTGTTCTGGGTTGCTAGGGGGGTGTGCATTACCAATTTGATGCCAAAATCCGACGTTGATAGACGTGTTCAATATGATTACCGCCCTTTTGGCAGAGAGAGGAACATAAAGAACATATTAATGAAATCAGCTGTACCATACTTATCAACTTTTCTTCATCCATGATTCCGACTTATGTGACGCGCTTTTAGGTATAAACACACACACGTCGAAACAGTTTTTTCGCTGCGGCAATACTGAGCGCTAGCGCGCTCGAGCATGCTCGAACATGCATCCTGCAAGCTCGAGCACCAAGTTTGGACGTGTATATAATTTTGCACTGTCTGTCAATAGTCATAAAATTAATATTTTAGTATTCTCAGAAAATGCTCTGCTCTGCTTTGCTCTTGGTGTGCGCTGACCCTTAGGAGCCCCGTTTCAGATCCTTTAGGTGTATGTTTTTACGTATTATCATTAAATTTTAATTAAACGTTTTAAAATGTTATCAATTGTCAATAATATCAGAATTTCAAACTGAAAAGGTGGCTACGTATATTTGAGGGTCTATCCAAACACATAAAAACTATGAATGTGTAGGAAGGCATTATTAAAATGTAGTGTTATTGTGTAAAGCTGTAATCCCACTTCTGATGTAGGAAGGTAGTTATAATTGTAGTGTATGGGGGCTATTAAATAAAAGACTTTTGGAATACAATGGAATCATTTTTATTCATTATAGTACTATGACCACTGGTTTAAAGAAAACTTCTATCCTGAGAAAAATCAGCAAGAAACCCAGCGGGACATTTCTTTTAATTACAAAACACACGGATCACAGATAATTAACTATAAATTGTACTGGGAATAATTTAATAGCTGAGAATAATAATTCGTTTCCACGAATTAATTGTCCAAAGAGTCGAGGTTGAGCTAGTAGCGGAGTACAACAAGTGCACCGAGCCACGCCAGAGCCAAGACTGTCCTAAAGGTGATATCAGACAGTTCACTCGAATGAATATTCACTGGAGTGACTGCTTCATTTTTCTTTCATTTCATGTTCACACAGCCTAGATACAGTGACTAAAAATGAACATTCACCCGCTCTTTTCTCTCAAGATGTGGTCAAATACAGTTGTGCCTATTGAAATTAATTTAATTTGCGATATTGCTTAATTAAGGAACTGACATAAAATAAACAAAGAAAACGGCGTGTATAGCGGGTTCTCACCGTCTTTATTTTGTTTAATGTCTTCCTCAGTAAGATATAAGTTTAAATCGGCAAATTATTGCCGTGGTGTTTAAATGGAATTATGTTATTCCATTTAAACACCACGGCCGTATACGAGTGAACGCTCACTCTGTGTTCAGACCGTTCATTTTTCGTTCATTCGGATTGGGAGTGAAAGATGCCGAGTGCCAATATCCAACATTGTTGGATCGGTTCATTAATGAATTCATGCGGCACTTTTGTTTCATTTTGTGTTCAAACGATTCACTTTGAATGAAAGGTGACGAATGAAAGATAAAAATGAACGAAAAATGAACTATCTGATATCACCTTAACGGCGGCCGCTTCGTCCGTTTTATACAAGCGAAACAAGAAGCCACACGGGCGCTACTGCACGTGCAACGCGCAGGTGTGCGGTGCACGTGTTGTTTACAATAAATCTGACTAGCTACAAAGGCGCTGTGCCCTTACAACGGCGCAGGTGCCGTCATATTGTAGTCCTCTCGAAAGTAATTCTTATATAAAGTACCTAACAAATAGCAATTTATGTTTTTTCACAAATGTCACAATGTTAGAATAACACAGTTTGGATCTTAGACTAAGAAAGAAAGAAATACTGCGCTGCGTACGTTTCAAATGACGCAACAACCAAGCGTGCCAATTAACTAAGTAAAAACTCTCACACATGCTTTTAAAATCGTATGTAACCGACAATATTGTTTAGGTACATATGTATGCTTTAGTAGTGAACGTTTACGGGCTGTTATTAAAGAAAGGAAGAAGAAAGTTGTATGCTTGAGTGCGTGTCAAGAATTTGAGCATGATTTTTGCGTCACTTGAAATGTCATGCAGTGCTTTTTTTTCTTTCTGTGTTTGTCCTGTGGTTTAGATATATGTGACGTTTGGTTACAGTCACCGAAACCTGCGAAAGAGGAGTCATCTACCGGTGTGAAGAAAGTTACCCGTCTAGGTCTGGAGGCGAGTAAGGATACAGACCTTCCCGAATGGTACTCGCAGGTCATCACTAAATGTGAGTAACTTTTTTATTACAATATACACAATGCTCAAAATCATTTTGATTTACTAAATCATGATGATCATCATTACAGCCCTTTACTAGTCCACTGCTGAACGTGGGCCTCCCCCAAGGAATGTCACAGGGCACGGCCCTGAGCCGCATGCGTCCGTCGAGTGTGTTGCCAGGTTGTCACTGCATCTAGTGGGACTCCCTACACAAAAATAAATACTTAATCAACATAAATTAACACAATTATAATATGAAAATAAATGTATGTTTTGAATCATTTATTATAAACATTTCTTAATTGGATTGTTTATTCTTTATGGCATTTGTGGGGAAATTTTGACATAAGTGTAACAGTATAGAAAAATAAATAAATAAACACGTGACCTCACTCTCTCAGTCCGATGGGATTTCTCCTTTTAGCTGGACTAAGAGAGTGAGGGAGTAGAGAGCATCAGTGTTTGCGCAAAATAATAAATAGAGAACACAAACAAGCCAGTCATTAAAATATATTAATTGCATGATTGATATGATGCATGAAAATTGTATGATGATGAAGGTTTTTTTTTAATTTTAAACTATATATATATATATATATATATATATATATATATATATATATATATATATATATATACTATTATTATATAATTACTATACCTACTTATATATTTTGTTATGTTCGCAGCGGAGATGATAGACTACTATGATATCTCCGGCTGCTATATCCTGCGGCCGTGGTCGTACAGTATATGGGACCAGATTAGGAGCTTCCTCAGTCCAGAGCTGAAAAAACTCGGCGTCAAAGATGGATACTTCCCCATATTCGTGTCTAAGGTGAGATAATTGAATATTAAATATCAATACAAATAAAGAAGCGGACTTAACTATCTGTAATATACAAACTTTTTAATGTTCCCAATCAGGCCATAATCTCACAAAATCTTGAGGCATTCGATTCAAATGACGTAAATAACCACTCAAAATTGCAAGATCTATATTACCTAGATACTAATACGCCAAATATAGTGATTACGTCACATTCTGCCAAATTGCGACAGATTTGTCCCATCGTCGTGAATCATTACCGGCTGATGATGATCATGATAGTCATTTCAAATGTCCCTCTCTCATCTCATCTCGGAAACATCGAATAAAAATATTTTCTTGCTACTATTTCTTGCACTAATATTTTTTTGTCGTTATCTATACATAAATTAGAATAGAATGGAATCATTTTTATCCAATATAGATTATATGTAATACTTATTGAGTCATTTTTTACTTATACCACAGTGGTATTCGGAAAAAACCTCTGTCCTGGGAAGAACCAGTAAGAAAGCCAGTGAGACTTTTTTAAAAGCACAATTTATAATATAATATTTTATACAATTGTTATGAAAACATTAAGAAAAACCATGGTAGCGATCACCTCATTCCCAGGGTTTATTATCAATCGTGTACTCTTTTAGTAGTATAATAACCCTTTCTAACTTCGATCATTAACTATTATTGACCGAAGCTTTTTAAACAATTTCTGTCTAATAAAGATTCTAAACCATTTGATAGATAAGGTCTGCATATTTTCTGGGACTTTGTTGTAAAAGCGTATATATTGCCCCGTGAAGGAATTACTCACTCTTTGGGGTCGAGTAACTGGTATAACTAACTTGTGCTTGTTCTTAGTATTTACAGAATTTACGTCACTATTTTTAGTAAAACTGTTTTTGTGTATATTATACATTAAATTTTCGTAAATATATTGAGAAGCCAAAGTTAATATATGTTTATCTTAAAATTTTTCTATAAGGGATACTTTCGGACCTAGGCAATAAATTGCTCTAATGGCTCTCTTCTGCAAAACATAGATAGTTTCAATGTTAGCCGCATTACCCCATAGCAAGATTCCATATGACATTATGCTATGGAAATAACTAAAATAAACTAATCTACCTGTTTCAACACATGTAAGTTCTCTTCTAATCTTTTTACAGCCTATGCTGCATTACTAAGTTTGCTAGCTAGTTTAGATATATGATGGTCCCATTCAAGCGTCGAGTCAACTGTAATTCCGAGAAAACAGTGGATTCAACAAGGCTCAGCTCTTCTCCATTTAAAAGCACACTACATACCTAATATAAGTTACAAATACATTAAATAAAACATATATTGTTGACGTTTTTATACTGCCAATGCTTTGGAGTAAGTACAAGTTTATGTATATTATAATTCTGGGGCCAATGTTAAACTCCTTATAGTCTGTAATCAAACAGTAGCACAGAGTAGGGTTTGTCGCTATAGGATAGAATTACTGACTGATAGACTGAATAACAGTGTTAATTTTGTGTGATATCAAATGTTCCTTTTTCAATAGTGCGGGGGTGTATGTCGAGGCAAAAAAGCGTTTAAATTGTATTGTGTACATTACATATTTGTGTATTATATATTCATTTACAGTTAAAAGTGGAATATAGCTTGCTTAATTACAAACGTAAAAATTTTATAAATTACTGACGTATTTCGACCACTAGGCGACCACAAGTATACTATTAAAATTCTAATTCTACTTTAAAGCATGATGTAATTCTACGTCCAGGCGGCGTTGGAGCGCGAGAAGACGCACATAGCGGACTTCGCGCCGGAAGTGGCGTGGGTCACGCACTCGGGCTCTTCCGAGCTGGCCGAGCACATCGCCATCCGGCCCACCTCCGAGACCGCCATGTACCCGGCGTACGCGCGCTGGATCCAGAGCCACCGCGACCTGCCCTACAGGCTCAACCAGTGGAACAACGTGGTCGTAAGTAGCACCCTGTACACACCGTGCACACTGTACACCTATACAACTACCCACATCCGAGACCGCCCCCGATTTAAAAGCTGGTCCTTCAAAATATATAAACCCACCTCTAAGACTGCCATAAATTAATAAAAACTGGACCTTCGAAATATATAAAATCCCGCCTATAAGACCGCCATTATACAATAATCCACCATATAGTGTGACCTCCTATAAAAAGATGAATCTAGTGGAACAACGTGGTTGTGGGTATGGTCCAAATCTAGACTGACAGAGACCTAGTCCAGACCTTATAATATTCACTATAATTAGCATCATTAAGGTGTTTCATTCTTCAATAGAGATGGGAGTTCAAACAGCCGCAACCGTTCCTTCGTACGCGTGAGTTCCTGTGGCAAGAGGGTCACACGGCTTTCCGCACACCTGAGGAGGCAGGGGAAGAAGTCCTACAAATTTTAGGTAAGTTTCCGTATAAAATTGATTCCTTTAGAGTAAGGTTTAATAATAAACTTACCCAGTTATTACGACAGTGGCAAATTTTTTGTCAAAAAGAACACATAAAATGTAATTTATTGTTTACATAGTTTGAGTTTTTTTTAATCAAACGTAACAGTCCACCTAAGTGTCTACTGCAGCCCATGGACTGCTGCAACCAACTTCAAAACAAAGAAGGCTACAGGTATTGTCGCCTTTGAGCACTGAGTTTTAATGCCTCAAAGTCTATAATTATATTTGGCAGGCGGACTCCTAGGTGACTCAAATCAATTCTAGAAAATCAAAGTGAATTTTCTAGGTATCGTACCAACTAGAAAAATCACTTTGATTTGTTACTTAAACGACAACATAATATAATCAGCAGGCGGTCGAATTCCCACCAAAACTCTCGTTTACGAAATTTAATTAAATCTTAAATAATATTTAATTTAATTACAATATGTTATTCTTAAATTGTATTATACAATTGATTGTAATGTATTGACATTTAAATTAATTATTATGTATTGTTATTTAAATTAATTATTGTATTGTAATTAGTAATCTTTTACAATTTGAATTGTTACTTTTTGAATTGAGATGCTACATTTATCGATTTAGGTTTTCCCTGTAATGGTAGATGTTAGTAGGAAATATAAATAAATAAATAAATTTTGACCTTAAATACTATGGCTTGATGAGCATAGAATGATAAAATTTACTCTTTTCGTTCCGATTTTTATTTTTATAGGGAAATTACCGGTTAATAGTTCCAATATGGACCATCGATTTCAAAGCCCATATTTTTTTTGTAGATAGTACTCACTAAAAGAAAGCGTTTTGCATAGTTTTAGGTTGCGGAAACTTACGGTTCATGAGATATATTTTTTTAAACTTTTCATACAAATTGGCAAATAACACGCAATTACAAAATAAATTTGACAAATGATTGATGTCAAACGTCAATTAGTGTAGAGTTCCGAATATTTTGAAAGTATCGATACGTACTCGATACCAAGTATCGTATCAAAAGTATCAATACTACTTGCTATCGAGTACATTCGTTAATTTTGGGGACTAGAGGGGTAAGAAGCCGGGAAGTTGTGCTCCGGCGCACCGTGGCAGCTCCGGCGCTGCGGGATGAGCTGTGCCTCCGCCCTAGCGTAAGGAAGCACAGGCACCTGAGCTCGCCTTCGCAGCTTCGGCTTTTTCACCAGCCTCAGCCGCTACGGCAATCTCGGTGCCCGCGCTTCCCTACGGCGGGCGGGCACTGCTCTCCCTCCGCGCCTCCGGGCTCTTATATACACTCTAGGGGTAGGGCAGACAAGACCACGTGGATAGGGGGGTGCTCTGATTCGGTTTTGGGTACTTTTTGGATATTAAATAAGTAAGTCAATAAGTAAGTAAACACTTTATTGTAGTAAGAATTAGATAATACAGAAAGTTGCAAACAATAAAATAAAAGTACAAAAGCTGTACTAATTAAGAAATACAAACAAGTTGCAAACAATGAAATACAAGTACTAAGGTGGAACTTAAATAGAGTAAACTTTATTCTACTTTATATACATATATAATTGCACTTATCAGCTCTTCCTATGCATCTAATTGGTTTGTCATAATTTTTCGTCTCCAAAATTAACGAAATGTACTCGATACAAAGTAGTATTGATACTTTTGATACGATACTTGGTATCGAGTAGGTATCGATACTTTCAAAATATTCGGAACCCTACACTAACTGACGTTTGACATCAATCATTTGTCAAATTTATTTTGTAATTGCGTGTTATTTACCAATTTGTATGAAAAGTTTAAAAAAATATATCTCATGAACCGTAAGTTTCCTAAAACTTTGCAAAACGCTTTCTTTTAGTGAGTACTATCTACAAAAAAATATGGGCTTTGAAATCGATGGTCCATATTGGAAATATTAGCCTAGCAGTGAAAGCACTGCTCCTTGTCGGCATCTCGTATACTAGATGCAAAATACCGAGATGGGAGGCTGCGTCAAAGGCGCAGGATATTTAGTACTACGATCGTCAGTCGACCTGCCAAGCGTAGCGTTTGTGAGAAATCATATCACGACGTAGACTCCAGGACGTATCAGTCTATGGCTGAATCCTATGTCCAGCAGTAGACTGGTACAGTTTAATTAAAAAGTAGTTTTATTAAAGAGTAATTAAAAAGTGTTTCATTTTCAGCGATCATTATTCATCCAGTTATAATTTTTTTTAAATGTGAGATTTTAAAAGACAGTTTTCATACATGAATTGCGTAAAAACAGGCAACCAGACCCGGCACAATTATTCATAGGCCATACAAACATTTGTTCAGTGCGGAATTCGAACCTGTGGCTCTCACAACCAAACGGTTAGCCTTTACGATATGGAACCATTAAAAAGTTGTGGTTTGTACCTAGGTTTTTCAATTTCTACAATATGTTTTATTTTGGTAGACTTGTACGCGCGAATCTACGAAGAGTTGCTTGCTATCCCCGTGATAAAGGGCCGCAAAACGGAGAAGGAGAAATTCGCTGGCGCCGATTATACGACAACCGTAGAGGCGTACGTGCCAGCTAGCGGAAGAGGCATACAGGTAAATATTAAGGCTTTTTGTTATAACAGAGGACATAATAACCTCCAATTCAGATTGTTAAAATATATTGTAGTCGATAACAAATAGAAGATAAGTGCTGTGCTGTGCAATCTAATGTAAGAAATTTTACAGTAAGGCGTACAATTTTGTGAAAAAGTCAATGAAAAGGTAGTAATTTCCAGAAACTCGAAAAAACTTTGAATATTTATTAATTTTAAAATAGTAACGTTATATTTTAGGTTATAAATTTATTGACAACAAAAAATTAAAAAGCTTACAATAAATATTGCAGGTTAAAGTAAGAATGTGGTGGCTCGGGGTAACCCATTCATTTTTGACCACTGAAATTATTGATTGCAATAATTTTAAGTGTGGCGCGGTGAAGGAAAACATCAAAGTTAAAGTTAAATTAAAGTTATTCATTACAGTCGATAAAAGTCCACCGCTAAATATCGGCTTCTTCCATAGATTGCCTCATCAGTAGAATTTTGCCATAGTTGCCACGCTTGTCAGTCGGGTTGGCAACTGCAGTTATTATTACTTTGAGTTGTTATCAGGACGATGCTCCTGCACATCATCATTTCTCTATGACACCTCTTACGACACCCACGGGACAATGGGGGTAGTTATATATATGGTAGAGCCACGCTGCAGCTATATTATGGTTGTAGTAGGAATGGGTCGGCTCGATCAGGGAAGGACCACGCTCTCACGGAACACCAGCGTAAAACTGTAGCTTAATACTGTTGTGATTCGTACGGTGAGTGCAGAGATCCGGAAACCGTTTTTCTTGGAAACGGGGCATTCCATCTTAGTCCTCAGGCGTGACAACGCATCTGAATTTTTATTCTTAATCGAGGATAAATGTCGTATGGGCCATAGCATCCATTTACTATCAGGTGGACTGTGTGCTCGTTTGTCACCCTTTTTCTATGAAAAAGTGAATATTCTATAACCGCCACTACACGGTTTCTCCCATTATATATTATGTATTATAATGCAGAACTACAATAGCATTGGCGAGTGCTGCTGGAACCAAGATAATTCGCTGCCGTATACATTTTATATAATAAATAAAAAATGATCTCCAGAACTGGGCACGCAATGTATGAAATGCAGTTGATTCAAGCTGCTGTTTACGCCGGTATTCTCTGCGAACGTGGTCCTCTACCAAGTAAAATGTTAGATGTGTATAGAAGCAGGAAAAAATTGCTTGACAATAGCACAAAACCGGAAAGAATGAAACAAGTTGGAGGAGACCTTTATCTACCTAAATAGGGGTCCTTAATTGAAATATATATATTTTATTTTCTAAGCGTACTTAGCCATAATACATATATTTGTTTGTTTTTTTTTTTAATTTTATATTAAGAAATAAAAAGACTTTACTATTGTTATTATATTACCTTTATTATTATATAGCTTTATTATATTATTACTACCATACACAGGGTGCTACAAGTCACCATCTCGGCCAGAACTTCTCGAAGATGTTTGAAATCGTATACGACGACCCTGACACACAAGAGAAGAAATACGTGTACCAGAACTCGTGGGGAATCACTACCAGAACTATCGGTGTGTAGAAAATGATAACGGTCATATTCCGACTTTTATAAATTATTACAATATAGTATACACAATCCTTTTTTAATCGAGTGATCACTTACAGTAAATTTGCGGCACCACAGGTATACTAAATCTACAATTTTTTTTTGACAAAGGTGCTTGCATTTTTGTTAACATTTCAAAGCCATAAAACATTGTCAAGCATTTTGGTTCATTTTTTGTCACATCTAAAACTTACAATCAACTAAATCTAGAACTATGTGAAACAGGAAATATGCGAAAACTATATTCCTATTGAAATCGCACCATCTATATATAAAACGCCCCATAATTTTTTCTAGGTAAGTTTGCAACAGCATAATCTTATATATATAAAAATCTATAGCTGTCTGTTAATTTTGATAAAACTCGAAAATGAGTGTTTGAGTATACATACCTACTTTCTATTTATTCCCTAAATAGAGATCCGCCCCGGCTTTGCACGGGTGATTTCTATATCTCGACAAAAGCGCCGACTACCGGGTCAAAATGTGAACTAAACCATCTAGGGACTTAACCAAACACACACAAGAAATTTCATCAAATACGGTCGAGACGTTTTTGAGTTTTAGGGAAACATCCTATTAAAAAAACGTACAGTGATTGATTTTTATATAAAGAAGATTGTACGGTTGCAAACCTACCTAGACAAAATGATGTGGCATTACCATGTAGAACAGTGGACTTTTATGACCTTAGTAAGATTCATGATCTAATTATCTAAAATGATATAAATGTATAATATGTAAGTTTTTGTACAGGCGTAATGATCTTGGTGCACGGTGATGACAGAGGTTTAGTGCTGCCGCCCCGTGTGGCCGAAATACAAGCCATTGTAGTGCCCTGTGGTATCACTGCCTCTAGCACCACCGAAGAACGGAAGAAGCTGATCGACTCATGCAAGGAGCTGGTGAATGACCTCGTGAAGGCTGGTATCAGAGCCGATGGAGATTACAGGGATAACTATTCGCCGGGTTGGAAGTTTAATCATTGGGAATTAAAGGTGAGTGTAAATATGAAACCACAGAACAACATAACCACCATTACAACATATTTATATTACCTCAAACTTAGGATAATATCCTCTGTAGGGAAGACTGGGGCTGGTAGTGACAGGGGTAGGTAGTTACAGCGGCAACGGTGGCTAAACTGAGAACGCTGTATTGTCGTGAGTAAGATACAAATGATCACGCTACCATCGGCTAGCACGCCGCGCGAACCTGTGGCGTCAGGGCTTTTGTGAGAGGAGCCCGTACATGTTGCCGTCAAAAACCGCATGTTAGTATAATTGCCGACATAAGTCGTGAGCACACTTTTCATTGGTCGATACGACGTGGATCACGCGTACGTTCAACGTGATTGGTTCATCAGTCGATTCTCGTCGTATTGGTTTCGATCGTATCATTCGGCTTCCGTACACTTCAGAGCAATAATTTTAGTGATAACTTTTTTAATTCGATTATTTTTGTTAATTGTTTTTGTTACTTCGTTGTTAATTGTTGTTTGTGTATTCCTTGTTATTAATTGTTTTTGTTATTTCTTGTTTTTAATTATTTTTGTTGTTATAATTTGAGTGTTCAGATTTTGGTCTAAATATGCAGAGAAGGAAGAATACGGTGTTAAATAGACAATCCCGACAAATGGTCTATTCAGTGTTTAGTTACATAAAAAAATTAGGTACTGCGAAAAACATCATAGACGTATATACGACTGCTGAGGCGACTAATGTCTCAGTAGCTACTGTACGGCGCACCGCAAAACCAGATTTTATGGAAGGCATATCACCTCTTCCTTCTTTTTAATAAAATAATCAATTCTAACCACCAGGTATACATTCAATACTTTATAGTAGATAATAAAATAACGGAAACGAATATCTTCAACATTACTGTATCAAAGTAAAAGTTGATGTGTTCGAGTAAACATTTTCATAAAAGTCGGCGAAAATATTAAAATCACGAATTGAAATAATAAAGGCACCCAATAATTTTGCCCGACAGTGTACCTACCTCCCATCACAGTTTATCTGTGCTCACGACTCGTGTCGGCAACTATAACATTTTCGTTTTTTCGTAATATTGTTCTAAAACCTCTTTTCCTTTAAAGCAGATATGTGTGTGTTGTGATATGTGTGCCCTAATCCTTTCTTATTGCAATGAATTTACGTTTATACAGTTATATTTATTTTTGTTTTAACTACTTAACCTTAAAAGGTCAGTTTTGGCGTTGAGGCTAAAAGTGACATTTGCTCGGGGCAGGTTGTTGCTTGTTACTACCTACCCCGTAGTGCTGCTTGCCGACTGATATATTTGACTTATTTATTTTTTGCTAATGTAATTTTATTTTTTATTTTTTGTTCATCTTCAATGTATACTAAGCTTTTGTTTAATAAAGAAATTTATAATTTTCTGCCGGTTGGAAGTTACCTAAATTTTATTTTTATAAGGCGTAAGCCTAAAAAATAAGATTATAATTTTGTTCAACGAAGTTACTATGTTTTTATTTTAATGAGGCAAAAGACTGTTATATAGAAAATATAGTTTGACATTGTATACATAATAATTGTTATAAACTGTCATTATTCTCAATAAAGAGTATTATATTACATTTGGCTTTTGTTGTAACATTTTGCCCCTTATAGTGTAACAACCAGCCCCTGGCGCGGGGCTAAAAGTTACACGCCTCTTTTCCCAGAATTAATTCATTTATATCACTTCTAATAGTCTGGTATCTAAAATTGTTTTTAAATTAATAACCCGAATAATTACTTATTCAAAAAACCTACATTCCGGTAAAACAATCAAACAAACAAAAAATGCGACACTTTATAAAAAAATTTCACAACCAGCCCCAGTCTCCCCTACCACGTCACAACTACAGCGGTATTTTCTTTTTAAATGATGAAAATTAAACCTTAATTTATCACTGGCAACACGTTTCACAGAAAGTTTTATGATTCTAAGGTATGTTTTTTTTTTTTAAAATAGAATAACGGTTACAAACGAACACACAGTCCAGCTGATGTTAAGTTAATGCTGCGGCCCATAAACATCAACATCAATCCTCGATTGAGAATCAAAATGCACATGCATTGTCACCCCTCAAGACTAAGATGGAACGCATCGTTTCCAGTAAAAAGGTCTCCCGTTCTCAACACTCACCATACAAAACACAGCGTTATTCAGTTTCCTGCTAGTATTTCGTGTAGAATGGTCGAGCTTACCCATTCGTGTTTCGTGCAGCAGATTTAATATATCTACCTGCTGCTATTAAAAATATTTATTTACATTTGTGAATTTGTATTCCATTTTCGTCAACGTCGTAAATTAGTACCTACTTAATTATATAAAATTTGTATTTGGTTTGATTATTTAAAATAATAGTGAATTTTTTTTATAGAAGCAAAGGTAGGAAAACGGGCACGCCATTGGGTAACCTCCGTTGCCGCTTTAGATTGTAACCCGGGTTGATTAAACATCGTGACGTCAAACAACGTAGTGCTCCTGTAACCATAGATCTACAGAGCACTCAAAACTTTAAAATCGATATTAAAGTCGCTCCTTTTGATACTGACGTCGCCCTCTTAAAGCGCCACTACACACGCCTCATATTTGTTACCATTCTGCTTGAAACTATTGACATATTTGTCAACAACTTAATGTTTAATAATTTTGTAATATGGTTGTTACATGAACAACGATAACATTGTTAATGAGATACTGGATTCAAATCTCGGAACGGGCCAAAACAGGTAAAGCAGCATAGAGTTGAAGTTGGTGATGTCGAGGGTGAACCTCGTGCTTAGGAAAGCACGTTAAGCCGTTGGTCTGGTACCTGGTCTCTATCCGGTCTTGTCGGATTACCGTCCCATCGATCTATCAAGTATGAGGGCATAACAGTGCACCTGTGCTTTCCCGTACACTTTGGCACTGTAGTCCTGTCCTGCGCAGATGGCGATGGATGAAGACTGTTGTGTGACTGACATTGTTATATAAACGAACGACTTTTCGTCTTGGTAGAAATAGATCAGTAGCATGTCCATATTAAGATTCATAATCAAAAAAATATTAAATGTCTGCTAGGGTGTCCCCGTTCGAGTGGAGTTGGGCCCGAAGGATATGTCTCGCGGCGAAGTGGTGGCTGTACGTCGGCTCACTGGTGACAAGCGCACAATCAAACGGGACGCGGTCGCCACCGAACTCATCGCATTGCTCGAGAAGACCCATGATGAGATGTTTGAAAGGTCTGTTCACCAATACAATTCTAGAAATAGCATGATTGTTTTGTTAAAAGCTCTTAAGAACTTCTTTTGAACTTCCTTCTTTCATTTCGTCAACATTTCAATGCTGGACGTAGACCACTCCCATAGTAAAGAGGATTTTACGTAATTACCATGCTTGATAGAAAAGATATTACAATATTTTCACCATCTCTCAGAGTCAATCTTTTCGATATTCCCCATAGTTGTTTCTTACGACACCCACAGGACGATAAAAGGTGATGGATTCTCTTGAGACAGCTATTCATCACTTTAATTTAAAAGGAAGAGTGAAAAAAGTTTTAGAAATTAAACATGTCACTATAAACCAGCGCTTGCACTAGTAAATTAGTTCAGTTATACCGACCTTCTAACATCTTTACTTATCTATCTTATTGATATACGGGTTTTTAGTAATTTTTTATAGAATAAGGGTAACAAATAAGTACTGTCCACCTGATGGTAAGTGGATGCTGTAGCCCATAGACATCTACATTTATCCTCGATAAAGAATCAAAACACATATGCGTTGTTACCCCTGAGGACTAAGATGGAATGCCTCGTTTCCAGTAAAATAGAGTCTCCATCCCTACAAACACCATACGAAACAGCAGTATTAAACTGCTATTTTATGCTGGTATTCTGTGAGAGCATGGTCCTTCCCCAGTCGAGCCAACCCATTCATGCTACAACCATAATGTAGCTGCAGCGTGGCTCTACCACTTATAAATATCAATGACCTACCAACACACCTACTTCTCTTCACCAGTTTAGGTGTCTAAAAGATTGTTAGTATGTTAGGCTCACCTTAAATCCGAATAAAAAAGATCTTGTACTACGCACACTTCTACCAATACAGGTTCCCCCATAGATTGCCCCATAAAGATTTTTGCCATAGTTGCCATGCTTGACAAGCGGGTTAGCAACTGCAGTTTTTTATTTTTAGTTTTTATTAGGCAGACGCTGCTGGCCATCTCCTGATTTGTTTCTCTCTGTAGCCTCTTACGACACCCACTGGATGAGATCGGTAGTGGATTTTCTTTATCACTTCATTAAAATTCTGTGCTGAGCATTAGCTTCACCTGCAGGAGCGAGGATTTGCGTTATCACATTTGGCGGGCAGATTGATGGTCGCAGTATCAGTCATTTCTCATCTTTGACGCTGTTGTCCGTCACAGTCTGGTCATTTTACGCCTTGCATAAACAAGATGATCCTAATGCTATCTGTCGACATCCTTTAATCTTTTCGCAATTTTCTAAAGTTGAGGTGATGGCACTACAAAAAATGCCAATAGAGAATTCATTACCCCATTTCATCATATGAATGTCATAAGAGGTGACTGTATACATTTACATTTAGTAAATCATTTTTAAATACTGATACATAAAATAAATACTTTTTAAATTAATAAAGATTTTTATGTAAGTTTTTATTTATATGTACATTATTATTACTTTAAGATTATTTTATATATTACTTTAAGATTATCACTGACACGATACCACTTTAGTATTATTATCATGACATATCCCATGAGCCGTGGTAGCTCAGTGGTTAACGCTCGCTGTAAATATAACAGAACGCGAGTAACCCGGGTTCGATCCCCGCCGGCACCAATGAAATTGTTAATTGCAATTTTAAGTGCTGATTTACCACGTGCTCGGCGGTGAAGGAAAACATCGTGAGGAAACCTGCATGTCTGAGGAATAAAAAAAAATTTTTCGAAGACATGTGAAGTTCGTCAACACGCATTTGGGCAGCGCGGCGGACACTTCCTTGCCCTAAAACCCTCTCAGAAATGAGGGGAGGCCTGAGCCCAGCAGTGGGACGTATATAGGCTGTAACTTTACTTTACTTTACTTTTATATCCCATTAGTTTATATCAGAGAATCACTGACCTCTATAATATATGCATACTGGTATATATAGAGGTCAGTGCAGTAAATTCAACAAAGGCAACAATATGCATACTCATCACTTGTAAGTAATTGTTTTATGAACAATGTTGCCATATAGTTTCAGTACATAACAATGATGGAGTCTTTGCAATTAATAAGACAATAATTTTTAGAAACTGTAAAATAAATTAGCCAATTTGTCTTTAATTTTTTTTTTGATAATGAAATGTCTTACCGACCACAATAAGGGATTACTTTTTGTTTTTGAAACTGTTACCAATGGGAATTACTCGACAACGGAGTTATGCCTTCATTATGATAACACTTCATAACCTAAAATAAAATAGGCATTTATTCCTGACGTAAAGCAAGTTGTCTTCTAATCAACATTTTATACAATATGTACAACAAAACCAAGTGTCAAATAAAGCTCAACATGATTACCACCGGAGTTACACAATCACAAATATACACTACACTATAGCATCCCATGGGTGTTGTGAGAGGCGATTAGAGAAAAAATCAGATGGGCAGCAGGGTGTTCCTACTAGCAACTAAAAATAAAAAAACTGCCAATACAACATGGCAACTATGGCAAATATCCCCCCTAAGAAGCAATCTATGGAGGAAGCCTATGTTCAGCAGTGGTCTTTAATAGGCTATAACGGTAACACTAACTGCTATTTAACATTTTCATACTTTTTTAACAGGGCAACAAAAGAAAGAGATTCACGACTATCATTGGTGACTAAATGGGAAGAATTCATCTCAGCATTGGAATTAAAGCATTTATTGCTTGCACCATTCTGTGGTGATATACCATGTGAAGACCGTATCAAAGGTGACAGCGCAAAGACAGATGATGATCCTACTGCAGAAGTTAAAGCTCCTGCTATGGGTGCTAAATCCCTCTGTATACCATTCAAGCAACCTAGAGAGCTTACTGATACGGACCAATGTATACATCCTTCATGCAAAAACAAGCCTAAGTTCATAACATTGTTTGGCAGGAGTTATTAATAAAAACACCAGAATTTATTAAATTTTTGTATGAAGTGTTAATAATAAATTATTATTGATCACTTTCTTGCTTTCATTGAAAAAATACACATGTACAGGACCATTTATTTTTATTTTTACAATTAATGCTACATGCTATTTAGTTTCTTCATAGTTTTTTAAATGATCTTCTAAATGCTGTATTCTTCTTTTTTTAGTATTTAAGAGTGTTACAAATTTACCATATAAAGTGTCTTCTAGAGAATTTTTAAGGTCAGCAAACTTTGTCAATTCTTCATTTAACTTATCTACCTCTATCTTCAAATTTTCGTTTTGGTTTTGATATTCCTCTATCTCTTTCTTTTGCAGCATATTTTCTCTCAAAAGAAAATCTATTAACACATTTTTATTCTCAGTTATTTTATCACAGTACAGGAACACATAACCATGCACCAGTACTGCAGTCTCTCCTTCGAACTTTTTTCTCCACTTAAATGTGGCGACGTCTGAATCGTTCAATGCATTGCTAAATTCATAAACATATAAATCGGAAATGTTTGATAAGTATGTTCGTACGTTTTTATAATAGTCATCTTCACTCTCATCTACGTCTTTTCTACATTTTTCAGCTAATTCGGTACTAAAGCATCCGGACCAGCTGCTATTATCATCGAAAACTTTAATTTCAAACAAACTGTTTTCAGTTCTTTTCCACATAATTTTCGCGTAGATCACTTTGTCGTTTATGTTAAATTTGGTTATGTATGTATCTTTGGCTGATATTATGTTCATTATATTTTATTAATGATTATTGTTCAAAGAGGAAGAAGTAATTTAGGTATAATTGTTTTAATTAAGTTAATCTTTCGAGCACCTGAAATCAAAGATAACTTGCATATTACGTATCCTGGAACCTAACTACTGCTATTGATGCTACATTACATAAAGAGTTAAAGGAGTAAGAATTAGTTAGGCCGTGATTATTTAGAATTGACGACAAATGAATTATCAAAAATATATAAAAATCTGTTTCCTTTTTCTCACTTTTTCGCCACTCGCCAATTCAGGTAGGCAAAAGTCATAGACCATAAAGCCTATTCGAATATAAATTTTTATTCATAATTTTGCAGATATGAGTTCTACGAACTAGAAATTTATTATTCGATAATGTTGATTAAAAGTATGTATGAATGAATGAAAAATTAAAAACTCTCTAAAAGTCTTCGAAACGCGATTTTCGATCCAGTGTGCGTCGTCGACGGATTGTTGCTCCTGTTTTATCGTTTGTATCATGGTTTAAGTGAATTTTAATACACAAAAGTGATGCAATTTTGTTGATGCAAGTTTGTATTAAGTATGTGCACATGTGAACTATTAGAGATAACGACGAAACAAGTGACTCAGTATTGATATAAACCTCAAGTAATTTTGATCGCTTAGGCGCCTTATGAACTTGAGTGACTGTCGTCATCGTCTGTTCCATGTAGGTTAGAGAAATGGAGAACGATCGCTGTAGAAAATAGTCACCCAGATATATAGACAAAATAAATGAGGCGCTGCGGTCGCTAAGTTGTCTCAATAATTTTAATTATTATATATTATTACAAATATAAATTGTTAATTATTATTGATTTATTATTTTTTTATACTATTTCACCGTTTTTTAATATTTCTCGTCAAAAATTAAAAAATTACTTCGCAGACACTACTTACCGACGGCAGCGTGGCTATAAATTCTACACATTTTCAGGGACAGGCAGGCTATGCTTTAGCACGTAGCGATAGTTCTCCTGTTCTCTGACCTCCATGGTCTGTCCGATGTCCGCTGCGTTGAGCAGTCATCAAAATCTTTCAAAATCTTCGCAATGTGAGGCATCAGCATATAGTGAAAAAAATATATAAAAAAGTGACGATCCCGAATGAAATGAAGATATAGACAAACACAAAATTGCATCACTTTTACGTATCAAAATCCACTTCAAACCATCATTAAAACCATAGAATATACAAGTAATTCACGGTTTTTGGCAGCTTCCTCTAAACAACAACGCAACATCGCATCATCCACCGACGTGGGCAATTAAGTGTTCGATTTAAGAACCCATGCATTGCGATATATCAAGCTCCCTAGAATATGTGGCACTTCCGAAGCTGAAAAGCTTAGAAGGATAAACTTAGGAATGAGGATATCGGCAACAGAACCAGAGTAACAACATCGCCTAACGGATTAGTAAGCTGAAGTGGAAATTGACCTGGCCATATAGGTCGAGGAACCGATAACCGATGAAGGAAAAAGATTCTCGAATGGCAGACTCGTACCAGCAGGTGAAGAGTCGGAAGTTCCCCCACTAGATGGAGTGAAAACCTGGTAAGACATACAGGAAGTTGATGGATGCAGGTGGCTCAGGACCGTGCTTTGTGGAACTCTTTGGGGGAGGCCTATGTTCAGCTGTGGACTTGTTTGTGAAGGGCTTTAATGATGATGAATGATAATGGCATTATATTAATATGATACACAAATAGAATGGACGTTACGGATATAGTCCATCTATCCATAGAGTCCATTCTATTTATTTAGATATAGGTAGGGTATAGAATTTTTATCGATATATTTTTTCACACTGTCTTATCCCTATTATTAGTTCCATGGACGTGCACTTCTGCTATCAGCGCCAAAATGGCGCAAATCAAATTGCCTTATCATGTCACGGTGCATGGCTAGTCCAGCGTACTTGTATATATAGAGGTCAGTGTCTGGGACACTATTTTCTACAGTGATCGTTTTCAGTGTTGCCACCTTGGTGATTTTGTCACTAGATCTGGTGATGTTTAACAGCTTTTAGCGATATTTTTATATCGTTTCGAGACTTTTTAGTTTAAGCGATTTTGGCGATTTTTCAATTAGGAATTTGGCAGCACTGACTTGAAACGGAAATCGTTCTCTTTATGGAATGTAGAAGTAAGGAGTACAGACTGTGTATTAAAAAGTGTCCATAGAAAACCGTCAAATAAGGGTGGCGCCACTACAACTACGGGGTATATAAGAACGCACCGAAAAATATTAGTGAGATAGACGACTTTTTCGAGGTTATATTTATTAAATAATATTATTTAAGATTTAAGAGCTACTGAGCAGTTTAGCAGCACACTTAAACCGTCGACAACTGCTAAGTTCATTTCATCCCATTAGCTACTCCAGCACTGTTGTGGAGAGTTTTGGAGCTGTTATTTACTGCTTACAGGTGGTCACTTTTTCAACTATTCTACTATACGCTCTAGCGTCCAGCCCTCGCGACTGATGTACCCTTGTACGTCCGGATACGCGCGGCCCTAATTCGGCTGCTACCGCGCTTGCATTTTGTATAATAAAACCCACGTAGCTACTTAACTATAACAGATAGAGGAGAGACAAAAACTACTAAATATTGTTTGAATTAGATAAACCTATGTATGTTTTAAAACCCAAAAATGTTATTTAAGATACTAAAAATAGTTGTGAACATTGAATTTGGAGAAAAATAAACGTATAAATTTTATTAATTTACACCTCAATGAAGAAATATTGTATTTTTTACCCATAAAATAAAGTCACAACAAACTAGACGTATTTTACCTTTTTATGATGCATATATGTTAATGTTTAATTAGCGTTATGTAATTAAATAAATCGAAACAAAACACCTACTTCTCGTAATTTTACCGCGATGCCTCGAGCCCTTTGAACTCGCTCGCGAAGGCAAGATATAATAATAATAATTTCTTTATTCAGGAAAATTTTTAACAATATATATTTGCATCTGCGCCTGAACTAAGCAATAAGCTTGTATCTCAGGCAACAGTGCTCTTTCTTATGGGACAATTTAACAGAAATCTTTTTGATTAAGAAACTTACGTAAACATATTATATCAAACAATAATAATATTTAAAGTATGAAAATTAAACCTACATATATAACTAAATATATTGTTGTGTGTAAATTGTTCCTCTCGTATGTGGGTGAGTGCTAGTGTATGTGTGTGTGTGTGTGTGTGTGTGTGTGTGTGTGTGTGTGTGTGTGTGTGTATGTGTGTTTGTTTTAGTGTGTATGCAAGGGAGAGGGTGAGTACAAGTATACATTAAAGTAATAATTATAATAAGAAAATATAATTTAATGGTATATTAATTATACGTTATAGAAGTAAATCAGTTATTTAGGGATTTCAATAATACTTCTGTTTCATCATAATCTAGTTTTTGAAGCCATTTGAGTAGGGTTCTTTTACATTGATTCTTATTTAAAATGTATAAATTTAGTTGCTTATTTATTTTATTGTACAAGAATGGACCAAGAAAATAAAAATGTTTATGTGCATACCAATGTTTAAAGGTAGCAGTAAGGCACACTTTGTCGGATCTTCTCTTTATTAATTGAGATGAGATAAAATTTAATAACCCATGTTGCTTTAAAATCGTCAGATAAATGTATAATTGTCGGACTGTTAATACTTGGCAGTGTTCATATAGTTCATATGTTGGATAGAGAATGGGTAGAAAAGTACAAACCTTTAAAACAGCTCTCTGAGCTCTTTCCAGTTGAGCTAATGTAGTTTTTGGGGCTCCGCCCCAAATACCGTGAGTTATAATAGATTGACACAATGCAGTGTATATTTGTTTCACTCGCTCAGGTTTAGCTACATGCCTCAGAATTTTAAAGACATAAATAAGTTTTCGAACTCGGGACGTTAAAACCTCTAAATGATCTTTAAAATTCAGTTGATTATCAATAAGAATACCTAAATACTTAACACAGTTGGTTTTGGATAAATATGGGCAGGTACGCGGTAATCCTAAATGTTTTATTAAATTTAAACAAATGTGAGCAGTTAACTTATAGTTGATAGTTGATTGAGGATCACTTGTCATGGAAAAGGTAATATATTTAGTTTTTTCAATATTAAGAGATAGGTGGTTACTACGTAACCATACTGAGACAACATCAATTCCAGTTTGAGCGTTATCAAAAGCCTCCTTCCATGTACTT